TCGAACGGGGGGGTTTAACCGAATAAAAGGGTTCGGGGCATTATCAAAAAAATTTTTGTGGTTTTTTTTTATTTTTTTTGGAGGGGGGGGGGGTTTAAGGGGGCCTTTTAATTTAACAATGAAAAAAATTCCCCAGGCCCTTTTTTTTTTTGTAAGGGGTTCAAGGCTTTACCTTTTTTCAGGTTGTACTAAATTTAGGGGGGGGGGGAAATGGGCCGGGGGGGAAGATTTTTAAACTTGCAGTTTTTTTTCCAAGTTTTTTTGGGGTGTTTTGCAAGGTTGGGGGCCCCTTAAAAGGGGAAAATTTTTTTTTGCCAATTTTGGAAAATTAGGAAGGAACATTTGGCCATTGGTAATTGGTTCTTTGGGAAAGGCGCCCCTTTTTTTGGGGGGGGGGGGGTAAATGGTTTCCCCGTTAAGGCAAAAAAAAAATTAGGGGGGGCCCCCCCCCCCCCCCCGGTCACTGCACCATTGCAACAACCCCCCACGAGCGATGACGACGTGCCTTTGTATTGCGTTGTCTATGTTGTATTGTTTGTTTGTTCATCGCTACGGAAATGGCTCCGGCGTGTCTTTCTCGTCGTCGTTCTCTCTTTTCCTCCCGCCGCTTTCTTTTTTCCTTTTCTTCCAGTCTACCTAACCCTAACCCTAACCCTTGTTTACGGTTTCCTCGCATCCTCACATACCGCGTAGAGGCGAGCGGAGGATTCTACCGACGATGCCAAGTGTGACGAGATGTGACGAGGTTCAGTGTGGAGCTACAATAGTCCGACCACTGTGTACAGGTCGGAGCCGCTTCGCTTCTTCAGTCTGCTTCCTTCCTTGTCCTTCCTTTCTCTCTCAGTCGCTCGCTATCGCTCACTCCCAGGCAACACTGAGCGAGGGGGAACGCTTGTATATCGCTTGCTGCTGCTAGTAACCATTATAATGCTACCTGCCTAATTTCGGAATACCAGGAATCTGGGCAGGTGGTCGGGATATTCATGAAATATACACCCGCCCAGATGGTATCTTAGTCCTAGGGTCCAAGTACCAAATACTTGACTCTATTACTTCATTCATTGATT